TGCCCCATGTGCTAGCTAGCTGCCATGGGCTGCATTCCCTGCCCCGTGTCCCAGGTATCTCAGGCTGCATTCCCTGCCCCATGTCCCAGGCATCTCAGGCTGCATTCCCTGCCCCGTGTCCCAGGCATCTCAGGCTGCATTCCCTGCCCCGTGTCCCAGGTATCTCAAGCTGCATTCCCTGCTCGGTGTCCCAGGTAGTTCACAAAGGCTGGATTCCCTGCCCTGTGTCCCAGATAACTCCTATGGACTGGATTCCCTCTCCCATGTCCCAGACAGCTCCCATGGGCTGCATTCCCTACCCCGTGTCCCAAGTATCTCAGGCTGCATTCCCTGCCCCATGTCCCAGGTATCTCAGGCTGCATTCCCTGTCCCATATCCCAGGTAACTCACAAAGGCTGGATTCCCTGCCCTGTGTCCCAGGTAGCTCACAAGGGCTGCATTCCCTGCCCCGTGTCCCAGGTATCTCAGGCTGCATTCCCTGCCCCGTGTCCCAGGCATCTCAGACTGCATTCCCTGCTCCATGCCCCAGGCAGCTCCCATGGGCTGCATTCACAGGAGCAGCCAGTACCTAACTCGAGCCCCTCTCTCAAGTACCTGTCCAGAAGCCCCTCACTTCCCCTCCATCCAGTGAACCCACCTGGTAGTAGCCCCCAGGCTCGCCATAGGCAGGGGGGAACTGGCCATAGGGCTGGCTGCCGTAGTCCTCGCCAGGTTTGGGTGCCCAGCTGTGCTGAGCTCCRCTGGAGCCCGCGCCCGTCTTGAACTCCAGAGGAGCATTAGCGGCCGCGTCCTGGAACTGGGGCTCCGGCTCTGTCCCGGGCGGAGGGTCCTCCGACCCCGCCGTGCCAGGGTACAGGTAGGGCTCGGTGCCCACGGCGCTGGGCTCGCTCCTATCAGACAAGGAGAAGTAGTTCTCTGGCTGCACCTCCTCGTCGCTGTCCTCCTCCTCCTGCGTGATCTGCTTGGTTACCTGCAGCGCCGCRCTCTTGGCCGCGGCTTTGATCGCCGACGGGGACGGAGTCGTGGGCACGGCCGGCTTGGGCACGGGTTTGGCTTTGGAGGAAGAGCTTGGAGCCTTGGCAGGCTTGGGGTCGGAAGCGTTTTCTCCCGTTTTCCTGGAGAATGCGTAGGGCAGGAGTACCCGATTGGTCTCTTTCACTGTCATATTTTTGGGTTGAGGAAGCAAAGCGGACAAGCCAGAGCCCTCGCCGCGTCCCTGGTGAGATCCGTGCAGGACAAATGGATCACAGAAAGAAAAGAGTGAGATCATTCACTTCTGATTTTCTGTCAATTATCCTCCCAGTTCTACCACCACCTGTGGGTTTCCCRCTGCTTGGCCATTCTGAACACAGTGCACAAAATGCCAGGGGGACTTTGAAAGGAAACATRGTATTTGCAAATATCTGCCCAATTGCCAACATTTAAATTGGTGAAATTGCCCAAAAAAGGGACTTGAAAACCCACAGGATTTCAGGAATATCTCTAAAGCCACAAGGTGATCAGAGTGGCTGATTTACACCAGTGGAAGCCCAAGACTGGTCACTATCAAATACTTTTTCCTGTGACAGTTGTTTAATCAAGTGCTCTTGTTATTTACCTGAAGAGTATTTTTCTTCTTTGCTGGTTCATCTTCCTCTGAATCTGACTGAGAGAGAAAACCAGAGCTCAGCACAACCTAAAATGCTAAACTAAAAAAAATTAYGTTAATAAACCCCAGGAAAATAAACCCAAAGGAAGGGAAGAACTCCAGGTACACAGCAACAAGTCAGGGCTCTCTTTCAGAAGAGTAACTGGAGGGAAAGCACAAACCACACAAAGGGTGTGAAGTTCACTGCAGGGATGCAGGGCATTGTTCCAAATAATGCTGGAATTGCTAAATATCCAGTTAAAAAATGAGTGGAAAGGCTGGTTGGCATCAGAAAAGGCCTTAAATATCTCGACAATTTCATGGCTTCTCAAAAGACTTGGGATCGAGGGTTTGTGCCAGTTTACCTCCAAATCCTAAACCAGGGAAAGACAAGGAATGTGCATAAATGAAAGGAGCTGGGAGTGATTGCAAACCCTCAGGTTTGGGAGAGAGGGGACACTGCAGCTGCCCTGGARCACCTCCACAGGATGAACTACAGGGATGGGAGGGATTTTAAGGAGAAAGAGGGAACAACTGAGGATGTCAGTCACAGGCCAAAGGACTTCCAGGAATCCCAAGTGGGAACTGCTTGGACCAGCTCCACTTYAATGTACTTTTTATCCTTTCAACATTCATTTGCTCAACACTGACAACCTGCARAATGTGCAGTCAGAGCCCACACAGAGAAGGGTAAAGCAGGAACAAATTCCTGTTCATTCCAACTGTCTGGAATCACATCCCAGTGCTGCAAGGAGGTGAGTAAGCAAAAAGTGAGGGACTGGGATATCCCTCATCCCTCTGTCCCAAAGGCTGAGTCTCCAGAGCTCCGGAATTTGCCAGACTGGGATGGTTATTGGGAACAGGGTGGTTCAGGAAGGGATGAGGAACCTGGAATTTGCCAGACTGGGATGGTTATTGGGAACAG